GTAATCCCATCACTTTGGAGACTGAGGCAAGAGAGTCATGAGTTTCAGACCAGCCAGAATTACAAAGTGAGAGACCCTGTCTCAGTGAAAAGCAAAACGAAGCCTGAAATGAGAGAAGTACCAAGGCATGAGGCCACAGTCCCAGGCGTTTGAGAAGCTGAGGCAGGGGAATTCCTTAAGCCCATGAGTTTGAGGTCAGTGTCTTAGAGAATAAATAAAGATGAGATTTACAAGAGAATGGAAATTCAAAGACTGGAAGTTTGATAACTGGTAATACTTTGTGATTGAGTTTAGAGAGCAAGAGTCATTATCTTTAAAAGATATGTACTGAGATAGTGACAGATGAAATTAAATGGGAGAGGGGACCTGGGTGAGATAGACAGGAAGAGATTGGCTAGGAGTTGATAATTGTTAAAGCTGGATAATAGATATATAAGGAATAGATATATAAGGGCCCATTTTATTATTCTGTGCATGTTCAAACAATTTTTTTTCCAGGCTGGAGAGATGGCTCAGTGGTTAAGAGCACTGACTGTTCTTTAGGGGACATGGTTCAGTTCCCAGCCCCCACATGGCAGCTCACAACTGTCTGTAACTCCAAGATCTGACACCCTCACACAGACATGCATGTAGGCAAAGCACCAATGTACATAAAATGAAAAGAAAGTTAATAATTTAGTGTGTGTGTGTGTGTGTGTGTGTGTGTGTGTGTGTGTGTGTGTGTGCCACACTTAGCTGAATCCCCTGGAACTGGAATTACAGGTGATTGTGAACTTCCTGTGTGGGTGCTGGGAGCTGAATTCAGATCCTCCAGAAGGATAGCAAGTGCTCCCAGCCTGAGCAATCTCTCCAGCCCTCCCTTTTCCCTTTGAGACAGGGTCTCACTGTGTAGCCCTGGCTGGTCTTGAACTTACAGAGATCTGCCTGCCTTTGCCTCCTTCATGCTGGAACTAAAGGAGTGTGCCTGCACACTCAGGTCCAGTTTCCTAAAAAAGAAAACAATAAATAAAATAAAAATTTCTCAAAAAAAAGTTTAAAGACTCTGCGACACCTTTCCAGTCCCTAAATCCCAACAGCCTGAGGTGTTTTAATGAGGAAGCTCCTGACCTGGGAGCTTCGGGGGGGCCTCCGGTGGATTCCTGGGACATTCCCTGGCTCTCCTGAACAGGGGGTGCTCGTGGGGAATATCAGAAGAGAAGTAACTGTAGCTTTTCCATTGAGGGAGGCCGGGCTCTGTGAACCTTGTGTCTTGGTGAGTTGGTGACACTAGGGCACACTCTGCCTTAACACAGCTAAGGGTGTGAGCAGTGATGCCAAAAATAGCAGTGAGGCATCTGGGGAGGGTGTCACACGGGAGGCAGGGGCAGGCCAGGGCCAGCTGCCAGCTCTGTACCCCGCCCACTCTCAGTGCCTTCCACTCTTGCTCTGCCTCCAAACCCCTTTCTTCTCTCCTCCATCTCGGAGAAGGCAGGAGATGGCAAGGTGACCCCGGGGACAAACACCTGCCTGGGAGCCTGCGTGGATGCTGACTCTGGGAAAGTTGTGACTCTCCAGGGACAAGCAGGGTGGTCAGGTGGGAAGAGAGATGGGACAAGGACAAAACTTGCCCACTAGTCACCTGAATGCAAGCCTGACCGGGACATTCAGGGTGGGGTGAGGTAAGCCACACATGAGCCTTGGGGCCATGCCTGTAAAGACTGTGGGGTGCTGGCAGTGGTGGGCACTGTTTCTTCCTCGGTGGTTTCTACCATCCAGTACATCGAGGAGGGAGCTGGACACAGGGTTATGCACTTTCTGAGCATTCGATCAGCAGCAGCTTTGGAGGACGTTAGAAACTGCCATGCCTCAGTGTTATCAACTGTAAAATGGGGGCTGTAGTCACATCTGCCTCGTGGCATTACTGTGGGTATGGAATGGGTCAGTGCCCAGAGATGCATGGGAGCCTTTTGGCACAGAAGCTAACAGGTCATCTGTCCTTCCCACCGTCACCAGCCCCAGTCAGGCAGGATGTTCTCATCTCTGCATGATACAGGTGGCTGAACACATGCTGCCATGGGTGCTTGTGTGGATTCTGCACAGCGGTGCCCAGAGGCCAACACTAATCATGCAGTTTATAGTGAGAACAGGCCGAGAGAGGGCGAGTGATAAAACAGTCTACAGGAACTGTCGAGCTGGGGCGCCAAGCCTGTGCACTGAGCTCCAGCTACATGAGCCAGAGAGCCTCTCCTCGGCTTACCTGTCCCCACCTGACTGGTACCATCTGGGTTCTTTCCATCCAGGCCTTCATATGGAGATGCTTGGTCTGGGGCTCGGACTGGGGGGAAACTGTTAAGGAAGTTATCAACCAGCCTCCTGCACTTACTAGCTGCTAGACCCCACGTCAGGTTCAGGGCTAAGAAGGTGGTAAGATGAGGAGACTAGAACACCTGTTCCACACCACGATGCTGTGGGGCTGAGTTGACACAGAGATGTGTGCGTGTGTGTGGACTCCTCCGTAAGCAGCCAGCCTCGGAAGAGGAGGGACAGGAAAGGCTTCAGAGAGGAGGGGACACATACATGCAGTCTGATCAAAGTCTGCCCAAGGGACAAGGCAGGAAGGGAATACCAGGCAGAGGGAACAGCTTGGATGGATGCCAGGAGACTAAGAAGACATATTAAGTTAGGCAAGGGCAGAGGGAGGGCCAGAGCCTGGAGATGCGTGGGGGTGGGGATGGGGTTCTATGGTCAGATAGAGGAAGGGCCAGAAAGTCATCAACTGGACATGAGGTGGGAACTCAAAGGCAGTGGGAGTCACTGAGATTTTAAAAGGGGGCGGGTCTGAAGAAATGGCTCAGTGGTTAAGAGCACTGGCTGTTCTTGCAAAGGACAGTTTCCAACATCCACCTACTGTTGTTTCTCCAATTCCGGGGCATTTGACTCCCTCTTCTGATCTCCATGGGCACCAAGCATGCATGTCATACATAAACACACATGCAGGCAATTACTCATACACAGAAAATAAAAATAAATCCTAAAAATTTAAGAGAGGGCCCAAGTAGCCAGATTGGTGGTTTAGAAAACATGCTGAGGGGCTGAAGAGATGCCTTAGTAATTAAAAGCACTGACTGTTTTTCCTGAAATCCTGAGTTCAATTCCCAGCGTCCACACGGCAGCACAAATAGACTATAACTGTAGACATGTGTAATCCAATGCTTTCCTCTTGTGTGCAAAACACCCACATGTATAAACAAATACATTTTGGGTTGGTGTGGTAGCACACTCCTTTAATCCCAGCACTTGGGAGCCAGAGACAGGCGGATCTCTGTGAGTTTGAGGCCAGCCCGGTCTACAAATGTAGTTCCAGGACAATCAGAATTGATACACGGAGAAACCCTGTCTCAAAAAACCAACTAACCAACCAACCAAACAACAACAACAAAAACCCAAACAAACAAACAAAAACAAAACAACAAGGCTGTGAATGTAGCCCAGTTGGTGGAGTACTTGACTAACATATACAGAGTCCCGGGTTCAGTCCCCAGCATTGCCAAGCATGGGGCATACCTGCCATCTCAGCACTCAGGAGATGGAGGCAGGAGGAGAAATATAAGTAGTTTAGGGCCATCTTCACTACATAGCAAATATGAGGCCAGCCTGGGCTACATGAGACATCTCATAAAACAAAAACAGGGGTAGCTCAGTGGGTATGAGCCCTGACTACTCTTCCAGAAGATCAGAGTTCAATTTCTGGCATCCGCATGGCTGCTCACCACCACGTGTAACACCAGTTCTAGGGTATCAGATGCCCAGTTCTAGGGTATCAGATGTCCTTCTGGTCTCTGGGAGCCACTGTATTCAGGCGGTGCATAGACGTACGTGCAGGAAAAACACACAAACACACACAATAACAAAATAAAAAGAAACAAGTAAAGCGCAGAATAATGCATCAAATATATAATATTAAAAAAAGAAACATACACACAAAATAAAGCCCACTGTGGTCACCAGGAAACAGCTGGGGGACACTGTGTGTGAGGACAGTGTCTACCCCAGATTCAGTGCTCACTCCGGGCCAGGCAGCTCCCAGCTGCTCAGACACACCTCTCCCCCTCCCTGCCCCTCCCTCTTCTGCTCCAGCCCCTGTCTCTGTCACTCACAGGGCTGGCTAGGCTGGGGCAGCCATGGCAGCAGCACTAACTTGGATTCCTCTCCTTGTGGGCAAGTCGGGGATTTTCTTCAGGGGAAGGGACAGAATGAGGGGTGGAATTTAGAGCTTATGAAGTAGAAGAGTAGGGGGTCCTCAGAAGAGGGGCTTGGGGTGGGTGAAATAGGACCTAGAGGGTTTTTGGGGGTGGGTAATGATAAGTCACTCAAGGATCCAGGGGCTGGGAGCTGGGCTCTGGAGGATGGGTACTGGGAACTTTAAGGGCAGGGGTGTCCTAGAGCCCTGGGTGGACATGGCAGGACAAGGGGAGAGGTCGTGGGCCCTTTAATGAGCTGGCTAGGACGCTGCTTCTGGCAGACCAGGCTAAATTTGGCATTAAGAGGGAAGGCGGAGGCAGCCTGGGTAAGTCTACTTTGCTGGGCTCCTATTGGCCTACATCGCAGACCCTGTTCTGTGATCTTCTCTGGGAGTTGGGGGCCTCACCATGGTTACCCCTTTTCTGAGGGTCCTCTCTATCCCCAGCTTCCCAGACATTCAACATGGGGTTCTTTTTTCAAGTAACCTGAACACAGACAGCATACCCCTTTCTCAGCCGAACATCAGTCCCCTCCCACCATGGGCCCAAAACATGGAGTGAAATGATGACTGGGGGTCCCTCCCGTGAATCCAAAGCCAACGAAAGTCTGGGGCTTGTCACTCTCTAAGCTATGCGTCAGAGCAGGGTCTGCACCCCACACCACTTGGTGCCAGCCAGGAGCCCTCAGCTCTCAGAACATCAGGAGCACTGGGAGGAAAGGAGCTCACCCCCTGCCTGTGACTGAAGCTGTGTGTTTGGGGCTTATGGGGTCCCCCACAGGTCTTCTGGCAGGGCTGAGGGATACCAAAGCCCAGCAGACCACCTTGTACCCACTTGTGGGGCGTGTTTTTGTGCATCCTTTGGAACATGCCACCTTCCTGCGCCTGCCAGAACACATCGGTGAGCGAGGGGCCAGACGGGCTGGAGTGTGCCAATCCCGATCGCCTGTCCTGTCTCCAATTCCCAATCTCCTCTTGTTTCTCCCCGTCAGCGGTGCCACCTACTGTCCGACTCACCTACCAGGCCCACCTCCAGGGACATCCAGACCTGCCCCGGTGGCTGCGCTACACACAGCGCAGTCCCTATAACCCTGGCTTCCTCTACGGTACTCCCACTCCAGAAGATCGTGGGCGCCAGGTCATCGAGGTGCCGGTGCAGAAACATCTAGACCCCTGAGGGTGGCTCCTGGGTCCTCCTAGCACTAGCCCTGCCAGTGGGATTGGGGGTTTATGCATGTTTATTTACATATAATTTGCATATACTCCATGTATACCAGCTTCCCCTTAGCCCCACTCCTCCGCCCTCTTTCCATTCCCCCAGGTCACAGCCTACAATCGTGACAGCTTTGACACCACTAGACAGCGGCTGATGCTGCTGATTGAGGACCCTGAAGGTACCTCCATCCCTATTCCATTCCTCTACTGGTGCCAATCTTGAAGAGCCTTACCCGGGAAAAAGAGTGTTGGGAAGCAGTGGGAAGCAAGGCACCCCGGAGAGGGGGCATTAGGGCAGATTCGGGGGCGGCGTTGATAGCTTTAGGGAAGGAGCTCTGGACGGAGGTGTATCCTCACCTGTGTAACTGAGCTGCCCACAGGCTGCAGGGCATTAGGCAGTCGTTGGCCGCAGTGTTGGGAAAGGGAACTTAAGGCCTGTGTTGTACACAGGCTGTTGGGGCAGAGGTGGTGTGGGAAATGTGGGAAAACTCCGGGGAGGTTTAGGAAGCACCTGGAGAACCGAGCACAGGGTGGGGTCCAACTGAGTGCTGATTTGGCCTCCCCAGGTCCCCGGCTGCCATACCAAGCCGAGTTCCTGGTGCGCAGCCATGATGTGGAGGAAGTGCTGCCCTCCACACCTGCCAACCGCTTCCTCACCGCCTTGAGGGGACTCTGGGAGCCAGGGGAGCTCCAGTTGCTCAACATCACTTCTGCCTTGGACCGTGGAGGTCGTGTCCCTCTTCCCATTGAGGGCCGGAAGGAAGGGTAAGGGGTCAATCCAGGAGGGCTTCCTGGTTGGCTGGGGAATGGGCCCAAAATAGCCACCTCCCTGATTTCCTGATTACCACTGTGGCATGCCTTCATCAGGATGATCTCTCTTTGCTTCCCTCCCCTTCCATCTCCTTCCTGGGCTCAAACCCTCATCACCCTGAAGTCTGTACTTACTGATACCCCATGAGGACATCTGAGATCCATCTGTTATAAGTCATTTCTGGGATGCATAACGAGTGGGGTGCTCTGACTTGGTCTCAGGTCTTGGGGGGCTATGACCTCTCCCATCAGGCCCTTATGTATCTCCCATGGGCCACCCCTACCCTCGCCCAGGTCCTTGCCTACTGTCAGGACACCTTCACCTCTCCCTGACAGAGTGGTGCCCTACCCTCTTCCACTATGCTGACAGTGGCTTCTTTCTGCCTCAGGGTATACATCAAGGTGGGCTCTGCCACACCCTTCTCCACCTGCCTGAAGATGGTGGCATCACCCGACAGCTCTGCCCGTTGTGCCCAGGGACAGCCTCCATTACTGTCCTGCTATGACAACTTGGCGCCCCACTTCCGTGTTGACTGGTGCAATGTATCTCTGGTGAGAAGGGATCCTGGCTCTGGGGTTTGGGTTTAGGGTACAGTCCTCATCAAGTCCTCTCCATCTATGATTTCTCTAGCCCAGCTTTTTTCTCTGATAGGGTCAGTTTGGGTCTCAGAATCAGTCTGTGGTCTCTGTCACACACACACACACACACGAAGTTCTATTTCCTGCCACAAGAGGGCGACAAAGCTTACAGTCCACATCTGGACGCTCCAGCTCTTGAGTCCCAGATCTGCTCAGCTGAACAGCGGAAACTACCAAGAGTTCCTAAGTCAGAACTCCAGCAAGGGCATCTGTGTGACAACTCTGCTTTTGGAGGAAGTGCCACCAAACAAGGCTGCCTGCAATAAGAGGCTCATTGGGCTCTTGGTGATGTGTCAAGGGACCCTAGAGATCCTGATCCCTGACTGGAAACTGCTGGTGTACAGCTCCTGGGAACCAGCAATAGAGGACTCCATCAGGGTCAGGTGCTAGCACTGGTCATTGACAGCCTACTGAAGGCTGTGTGCTCACCACCAGGTCTCTTCACCACCGTGGTTCACTGCAGGAATAAGCACACTATCATCACTCTGAATTCACTGACCATGTTGAGGCAATTCACCCCTGTGAAGCACTAGCCTGACCCCGAGTTCACACTCAGGCTGTCCAAACGTAGCACCAACACTAACTGTTGTACATCCCTGCTTCTCCTGGAACTGGCTTCTCTTGACCCCTCATCCAGTGTCCATCCTGTAGTCTCATGGGCTAGGGAAGGCAGGCAGGAAGAAGGCCTGTGGTTATATGGGGTTGACAAATTGGTGGTTGCCATGTTTCCTGTGGGACGGTGTCTCGTGTGCCCATTGAGCTACTACTCTTGGGTCAGCTCTGGACTCTACACAGGTGGACAGGTCGGTGCCGGAGCCCCTGGATGAGGTGCCTACTCCAGGTGACGGGATCCTGGAGCATGACCCATTTTTCTGTCCACCCACTGAGGCCACAGGCCGAGACTTCCTGGCAGATGCCTTGGTCACCCTCTTGGTGCCTCTGCTGGTGGCTCTACTGCTCACCCTGCTGCTGGCTTATGTCATGTGCTGCCGGCGTGAAGGACGGTAAGTGTGCTGGCCAGGGAGGGCAGAGGGCTGGTACATCTAAGGGACCACCCTGAGACTGGGGGAGCCAAACTTCTCAGGGAATGGGATTCTCAACTGTAAGAGGAAAGTGGGGCCCCCTTTCTAGGCAGATGGGGGTGCACTCTTGTCTGGCTTGGGACTAGGAGGGATTCTGAATCTAAGCACCTGAGATTCCTACACAGGAGCTCTTGGGACACCGTGGAGCAAAGCCGCACATGTGTTGACTGCCCCCACCCCTCCATTTTTTCACAGGCTGAAGAGAGACATGGCCACCTCTGAGTGAGTAGAACAAAGACTGGGGCTTGGATAGGGGATGCTCCGCTCCCCTGGATTGTTTAATTGGACCCTTCACTCTTTATGAGCAGCAGTGACCTGAGGGTTGGCCCTGGGCTGGCTGGAGGCTAAGCCCGTGTCCTGACCTTGTCCTCATGTGTTCTGGTCACAGAAGAGGTTACTGTGGCAGAGGGCATCTGCCCCTGTACCGAGGACAGGGCTTGAGAAGCGACAGCGGCTCCCAGTGTGGATTCCTTTTTCCCTCTCTCCTCCTCCTTTACTCTTTCTCCATCCTGCCCCTTCCTTCCTTCCCTCCTTTTCTCTCTTTCCCTCACCTTCCCATTTCCCTCTTCCCCTCCTCCCCTCCCTCCCTCCTTCCCTCCCTCCATCTTTCATTTCCTCCCTCCCTCCATCCCTCCCTCCCTCCTCCTCTCTCCCTCCTCCCCTCCCTCTCTCCCTCCCTCCTTCTCTCCTTCCATCTTTCCTTTCCTTCCCTCCCTCCCTCCTTCCCTCCATCTTTTCTTCCCTCCCTCCCTCCCATCTCCTTCCCTCCCTCCCTCCCTCCCTCTTTCCCCCCTGTGAACCAGACACCTGCCCTTTGATTCTCCATGTGTTAGAGGATGTGGCTGGCCTAGTGGATGGCAATGGATGCTTTGAATCCTACCGTATCTTTCCAAGCCCATCTTATTCTGGCCCCAGATTCCTCCTATCATCTATGGCCTCCTCCCCCACCCTGTGCCCCTCAGCCCCTGGCCTAATTTTCCCACCCTCTGAACCCCAAAGATTCCAGAAGACAGTTGTGAAATAAGTTGGGCTTTTATTTCCATCTCACTGAGCTTGTGGCAAGCCTGGTACCCGGCCTAACCTGCCTTATTAATGGCGGCAGCCTCTGGCCCCCCTATGAACTCCCTTGTAAAGCCCTTTAAGGCTCCTTCCAGAGCCTAGCAGTGACTGGCGTGGTCCAGACCGGCGCTGCCTAGGCTTCTGCCTCTGCTGCCTCCGCTGGCGTCTCCTGGCCTTGCGCTTGGACTTGAAGGCTTGCTTCTTGCCCAGGCGGAAAGAGCCTGAGGCCCCCTTGCCGGTTACCTGCTTGAGCATGCCTTTCTTCACTAGATTCTTGACCACACGCTTGAAGCGCCAGCTGTTGTGGGCCATATTGTAGCCTGTGGTGCTCACAGCTTTCTTTAAGGCAGCAAGGGACACACGTCTGTGCAACCCCTTGTCAGTCACAGCCCTCAGAATCACCTTCGACATGCTGGGCTTCCGCATGGTTTGGGGACAGGTGTAGGGCCCAGTCTCACTCTTGCTTGGGTCGTCTGATGTGCTGGCATCTTGGTCTACAGCCACCGCAGAATTTGGGGCTGCAGATGGTGACACCAGCAACGTGTCTCTCTGCATCTCTCCCGGGGATGACTGCAGGGCACTGGATGCTAAGACCTCCAGGGTGGCGGCTGGAAGTATCCACCGGGCTACTCTCAGTAGTGGGCGAGCTGTGTTCTGGCTTCTGCTGCCCTCAGAGGCTCCTCTGTAGGGGTCTGGGCCACACCTCCTGGGTGGCCAGAGGGAGGACCGAGGATGATCACCCACGGTTGGCCTCAGCAGACTTGTGCTGTGGGCCCAGGGGCTGGTGAAGTTATCTCTGCTATGACCTCAGGAGGCCATTGTGAGGTGGGCAGAATCCTGTGGGGGTCATAGCAGCCCCACTGTCTCTTCTTAGGAAGCTCAGAGGCATGAGACAGGGGGGACATCTGATGTGCCAGATGCCCTTCAGAGGAGGGCTGTAGCAGGGTGAGCCCACACAGGGAATGCCCGTGCATGTATGACATGTACATTTCTGAACCAATTCCAGGACATTTAGTTAGTCAGTTAGTGGTGCTGTGTATGGAATCCAGGGTTTCACACACACTAGGCAAGTGTCTCATCACTGAACTATATCCCTAACCCAAGCCCTCAGTTTTAAATCTACCCCTGAATTGCCAACATCTTCTGCTCGTTGTGTCTTTGCGTCTCTGAGTGGAAAAATGCTAATATTTTGTGTTTATTATTTTGAGACAGGCTCAGCTTTTTTGGGGGGTAGGGGTTGAGACAGAGTTTCTCTGTGTAACAATCTTGGCTGTCCTGGAACTTACTCTATAGACTAGGCTTGCATCAAACTCCCAGTGATCCACCTGCCTCTCCTTTCCCAGTGCTGGGATTAAAGGTGTGTGCCACCACCGATAGCAATGACAGGATCAAACTATATAGCCCTTGATGGGCAGGAATTCCCTAAATGTGCTGGGCTGGATTCAAAGTCACAAAGATCCACCTGCCTCTGCCTCTGCAGTGCTGGGATTAAGGTGTGTGCCACCATGCCTGGCCACATTTGTTTATTTGTTGAGGCAGAGTGCTGGCCTCAATATACAGCTGAAAATAACCTTGAACTTCTGATTCTCATGCCTTCACCTTCCTGAGTGCTAGAAATTACGGATGTGCCGCCACACGCAGCTTATGTGGTGCTGGAGTTGAACCCAGGGCTTCGTGCATGCTAGGCAAACACTTCACCAGCTGAACTCTTCCAATACATTTTAAACATAAGGATTATAATTATACTTTTTAAAGGAGATTATATAATTTTCAGAGTAAAATGCAATTCCTCGACTTATTAAATTAACCAGTCTTTCATACGAAACTGGTAAAATGCTTTATTAAACTGGGTGTGTTGGTCCATGCCTGTAACCCCAGCACTGTAGGGGTGGAGGCTGGAGGATCTCCACCTCGCCTCCCTCAAAGGCCATTCTGGGTTCCATGAAAGCCTGTCTCAAAACCAAAAAGAAAAAAAGAAAGGGTTTGGACTTTGTTTTTGTTTTTTGAGATAGGGTCTCTCTATTATGTAGACCAGGCTGGCCTTGGACTCACAGAGATCTACCTGCCTCTGCCTTCTGAGTATTGGGATTAAAGGCATTCGACACCATTGCCTTACTGGGTTTTATGTCTTTTATTTGTTTTTGCTTTACAGATATCTTCCACTGAGATCAATAATTTTGACATTTCACAAGAGGATTTTTTATAAGCATTTTGTGGGCTGTGCCAGATTCAGTCACTTGTGTCACTGACATTGTGACTTTTCTCTTGTGACCAGTGTTTTTGACCACCTCTAGCTTTCTTTGGTTCAGTTTGTACCTCTGATGTCAGGGAGACCTGCTTCCCTCTTGATTGGAACCAACAGTGTGGCCCTGTGCTGGAGCAGCCTGGGCTGGCCTGACTTTTGTGTTGATTTAGTTCTACCAGATACAGTTATTTTACTTACATCAGTGTCTGCCACTTTTTAAATTGGCCTCAAGTAGTGGCTTTGCTGCCTGGTGACTTTCTCACCGGTATCAGACCTGACTGATCACCGAGTTCTCCAGGCCCCAGGGGCATTGCCCTGTGGGCCTGTGTGTTTGGGGGCAGAGTGTCTGTTGGCGATGGCGTAGGTGTAAGAGAGACCTGTGACCATGTGTGTGTGTGTGTGTGTGTGTGTGTGTGTGTGTGCATGTGTGTGTGTCTGTGTGTCTGTGGGTGTGTGTTTGTACGTGGCAGTGCCTCTGCCTGGAGTACTTACATGAAGCCTCTTGGGAAGGCTCCTCTGGATTTGGTGTCTGCTCATCTGCTCTTCTTGGGGAGATTTTTCTTTTTCTTTTTCTTTTTTCTTTTTGTTTGTTTGTTTTTCGAGACAGGGTTTCTCTGTGTAGCTTTGGAGCCTGTCCCAGAACTCACTCTGTAGCCCAGGCTGGTCTCGAACTCACAGAGATCTGCCTGGCTCTGCCTCCCGAGTGCTGGGATTGAAGGCGTGTGCCACCACCACCAGCTTTAAATCTAGGTTGTCTGCGCCCTGAGCCTTGTCTCAGTCACTGGGCACAAGCAGGCACCAGTAAATTCCCCATTTTCCCCCTACACTTACATCGTGTGTTTAAGTGCCCCCACAACCAGACCTGGTAGGCAGACTGCAGGGTGGCTCTGAGGCAGTGCCAGGCTAGACCCTGGAGGCTCATTTCAAGAGCTGATGATGATCTTCTGCTTTGTCTCCAGCATCCAGATGGTTCACCATTGTACCATCCACGGGAATACGGAAGAGCTTCGGCAGATGGCAGCCAGCCGTGAGGTGCCCCGGCCTCTTTCCACCTTACCCATGTTCAACGTACGCACGGGAGAGCGGTTGCCTCCTCGAGTGGACAGCGCACAGGTGCCCCTCATCCTGGACCAGCACTGAGAGCCTGCCAGGTGGGTCTGGCTGGGCAGTGCCATCCTCTAACCAAGAAATAAGGGAGGTTCTATCTCAAGACAGGGGCATGTGGTGGGATGTAGGGGGTCACACTGACTTGCCCACTCCCATATGCTGGGTGCTCAGCAGAGCCGGCATTGTACCCCACAACTGCCAAGCACTCAGGACCAGAGGGTCAGGATAAGGGAGACAGGAGTTTGGTACCCTTAACCCTTCCCACATGTCCTTCTCTTTTAGTTCCCTTTTAGTTCCGGTTTCAGCTGCACTGCTCAGAGCCGCTGACCTGTGACTACATCCACCGCTGATTCCAGCTCCTAGCCGACTTGGACCTCCTGCTCCAGACAGGCAGATGGATGGGGTAGTGGGGGGAGGGTGCTTGGGGTCAGCACCCAAGAATAAATACCTGCTGCTCTGTTCATCTATTGCTTCTAGTGCCACCTTCTCAGTAGATGTCACTGTGTCCTCCATGTCCCCCTCTGAGAATCCCCAGAGGCCACCAACTCGCCCTTGGGACTCTTCCAGTTTTGCTGTTCTCAAACTCCCTGGATCTGATCACGAGGCTTGACTGGATTATTAACCCAACTTTCTAGACCAGGAGACTAAAGCCTGTGGAGAGTAAGTGATTTGCCCAGTGTCACAGAGCAAGGCCTGTCTGCCCATACACTGCCTTCTGTGGAGTTGAGGAGTTTGAGAAACAGGGCATCTAGGTCTTTACCTAGAGATCTGGTTGACACCTGCCACAGTTCCCTGCAGGACCTTCAGTGTACACACTGTGTTTGGGGACACCTGCCACAGTTCCCTGCAGGACCTTCAGTGTACACACTGTGTTTGGGGACACCTGCCACAGTTCCCTGCAGGACCTTCAGTGTACACACTGTGTTTGGGGACACCTGCCACAGTTCCCTGCAGGACCTTCAGTGTGCACACCGTGTTTGGGGACACCTGTCACAGTTCCCTGCAGGACCTTCAGTGTGCACACCATGTTTGGGGACACCTGCCACAGTTCCCTGCAGGACCTTCAGTGTTCTCTCTGTGTTTGGGGACACCTGCCACAGTTCCCTGCAGGACCTTCAGTGTGCACTCTGTGTTTGGGGACACCTGCCACAGTTCCCTGCAGGACCTTCAGTGTGCACACCGTGTTTGGGGACACCTGCCACAGTTCCCTGCAGGACCTTCAGTGTGCACTCTGTGTTTGGGGACACCTGCCACAGTTCCCTGCAGGACCTTCAGTGTGCACTCTGTGTTTGGGGAGAAGCTGATCTCAGTATGGAGCTGTTGGGAAGTGTTACTGGCTGACCGTCCTAGGCCCCAGAGGTCTGCCATTCTAGAATGTCCCCTGATCTGAGTGTTGCCAGTGTGGCTTCTCCCCCAGGAGCTCTGGAGTACTTAGCTGGCTGCAGAGGCCTGGGATTGTTTTCCCAGGTTGCTACAACTGGAGTGGGCCAGTTCTGCTGTGCTCTCTGCCATCTGCACTGTGACAGGGACTTACATGTTACCACTTTCGTGGGAGGACAGGCTGAGACTAGGCCTGAAAGAGACCTGACAGAGTGACAACAAAGGACAGGTGGCCCAGCCGATCTCAGCTCTAAGAGAAGGCGTACAAGTGCCTGACACCCAACACCCTGGCCCTCCTTCAGGCTGCTTTCCTGGGAGCTTCCAGCCCCTCAGCTGCTCCACCTCTTTCTTTCATCTGACAGGGTCTCCCTACATAGCCTTAGCTGTCCCAGAACCATGTAGACCAGGCTGGCCTCGAACTCCCCTATAGCTTCACAACTTCCTTCACTAGTAGACATTTGTCTCTGCTCTAACACATATCCTCAGAGAGACCCTCCCTGTTCCCTCTGCTCCCATGACCTCCAGAGTCCTTTCACAGCCCTCTTGGCTCTCAGACAGGAGATGCTGTCTGGGCTCGTGGGTTATAGTCTTCCGGGCTGGAGAGATGGCTCAGCTGTTAAAGGCTAGGCTCACAACCCAAAACACCAAGTCTTCTTCCAGTACTAGATTCAGGATTCTGTCCACCCTCTCTCTAATAGCTCCCCCCACCCCATCCCTACCCGCTTAGCCCCAGCACAGACCCTGAACAAAGATGCCAGGCAAGGCTGTTTAGAAGGAATACCTAAGGGACACTGTTGTCTCTGTGTTTGCTCAGTTATTTATTTATTTGTTTGTTTGTTTATTATGTGTCTGGGTGTTTTGTGTGCATGTATGTCCTGCAGAGGCCAAAAGAGGTGTCAGATCTCCTGGGACTGGAGTTAACGATGGTTGTGAGCTGCCTTGAGGGGGCCTGGAATCAAACCCCGGTCCTCAGCAAGAGCAGCCAATGCTCTTAACTGCTGAGTCGTCTCTCCAGCCCCTGCTCAGAGTTCTTTTCTTTATTAACAACTGGTTAAGTGCAGTACTGAGAAGGGGGGGAGGGAGTGTAGAACAGGAGTTCAATCTGTAACTGACTGTGACCCGTCAATTGCGATAACTCACTTCCTTCAGACCCGCCCGCTCAGAGCTCTTATGGAGGCTTCCCCTTTAGGCCAAAGGCTAAGCCTCTACCACTATCTCCTGCACCTCCCCTGCATTCTGGGCACCCCAAACCCATTAGCTGCCTAATTAAGGAACTGAGTAGTTAAGCATTGACAGAGGCTGGCGGGGTGTGTGTGTGTGTGTGTGTGTGTGTGTGTGTGTGTGTGTGTGTGTGTGCTTGTATGCGCACATGCATACTCACACGCAAGCACAGTATATGTATTCAGTGAATGAAGGCTGGAGGGATGATCTCTAATCAAAAGGTTCTTTGCAGAACAAACAGGTGCCTCTGGCTTCTCATTGGCTCTTTCCTTCTTTCCTGGAGGCCCTTCAGCCGATGGAGAGGCACAGCCCCAGCTCAGGTGGCAGCTCAGTGTAGTGGCCCTAGGTCTTAGGCTGGCTTCCCCTGGGTCCCTGTGCCTTTAAGGTGGGGGCTTCTGGCTCCCTCTCACCTCTGTCTGGTCCCCTGCAGGGCCTTCCTGGGCTGGTCAAGGATGGGAGAGTGAGACGTCAGCTCCTCCCTCCCTCCCTCTGCTTCCTGGCCTTGCCTTGGGGTCTTGGCAGCCTCTTCCTCCCAGCTCAGTTCCAAAGAGCACACAGGAGCCTGCCTGGCTGCCTTCCTGAAAGGAAGTGGCCCAGACAAGTAGCCGGGAGGATGGCGTGACTACAAGAAGACACTGAGCCCTGCCTGGGCCCATGTGAACGCCCAGCTGACAGCAGCATGGGAGGAAGACATAGACACGCTCAGTACCCACTGTTCCCTGGGCAGCAGCCGCTCCTGGAAGAGTAAGAGTCCCACACTGCAGTCAGGACCACTTCCTGCAATCCCTGACAAGGAGCAGTAGCTGTCCCCAACCCCCTCCTGCTGCGGCTTCACCCCACTGCTAGTCCTGTGGATGGCCCTACTTATGTGGCCTGATGAGTGGCCTCCACCTTCACTCTAAATACAGACTGCACATGGGGCCTGGCTCCTCAGTCATTTCCTCACCACACTGTCCAGGCCCTGGAATACAGGGCACCGCCTCCATCAGGCCTCAGCCCCTAAGGCAACACCTCCCCAGACAGGGTTTAAGCTTGGCTCTGGCACACCATAGCTGCATCAACGGTTAGTTTGCTCATAAAAGGAGTCAATCCCTGCTTCAGGGCTGACGTGAGAAGCCACGAGGACAGGCATGCAGAGCATTATCATGAGCAGCCTCTCCATGGTCAGAGGGGTGTGGGTCTCTCTGACCCGTCAGATCTGGACTGATGGGCTCTGCTTCCACCAACGCCTCAGGAAATGTTGGTGTTTCCTTCTGAATGGAGGGGAATGATGAAGTCCACAGTCCTTGATGCAACGGCGCTGCAGGTTGTGTGTGGACACCAGAAACATGGCTAGTTCAAGCCGAGATGCGTACGGTTTGAATGCTGTCTGGGCTTGTATAAGGTTATGAATATGCCGGGTGGTGGTGGCGCACCCCTTTAATCCCAGCACTCAGGAGGCAGAGGCAGGTGGATCTCTGTGAGTTCGAGGCCAGCCTGGTCTACAAAGCGAGTTCCAGGAAAGGTGCAAAGCTACACAGAGAAACCCTGTCTTGAAAAAACCAAAAAAAAAAAAAAAAAAAAAGGTTATGAATATTAGGTATGTATAAGATATGAAACTAGTTTCACCTAATTTTTTTGTTGTTGTTGTTTGTTTGTTTGGTTGGTTGGTTTTTTTGAGACAGGGTTTCTCTGTGTAGTTTTGGTGGCTGTCCTGGATCTCGCTCTGTAGACCAGGCTGGCCTCGAACTCACAGAGATCTGTCTGGCTCTGCCTCCCAAGTGCTGGGATTAAAGGCTTTTCTTTTTGACATGAGGTCTCATATAACCCAGGATTTGAACTAGATACGACACCTAGAGATGACTTGGAGCTTTTGATTCTGTCTCCGTCTCTGGTGTGACACTAGGGATTGAACCCAGAGCAATGTGCACCCAGAAATCACTCTACCAGCTGAGGTACACCCCCAGCTCATCTCTCTTCCTTTTTAAACATGGATGCTAAAAAATGAAAAATATATGAGTGGCCCACAGTCTACTTTTTTTTTTTTTTGGTTTTTCGAGACAGGGTTTCTCTGTGTAGCTTTGCGCCTTTCCTGGAACTCACTTGGTAGCCCAGGCTGGCCTCGAACTCACAGAGATCCGCCTGGCTCTGCCTCCCGAGTGCTGGGATTAAAGGCGTGCGCCACCACCGCCCGGCTACAGTCTACTTTTTAACATCACACACACACACACACACACACACACACACACACACACACACACACCCATATACATGGTGTGGGGGTGTGTGGGGGATCCCCAGTGTGTGTGTGTGTGTGTGTGTGTGTGTGTGTGTGTGTAAGAAGAAAACTTATGAGAGTCGGTTCTCTCTTTCCATCATAATGGTCCTGGGGATGTAACTCAGGCTGTCAAGCTTGGCAGCTTGTACCTGCACTTGCTAAGGCATCTTCCTTGCCCCACATCCTATTTTTACAGGGGTAATGATGGTTTATGGCTTTCCCCAATCCACTCAGACCCAGAACTTAGCTTCTTCCTTGCCCTTGCTGCTCACTGTCTGCTGGTGTCCCACAGCCCTCCAGATGGAAGTTTGCCACCTAGCAACCGATGTCTTCCAGCTTGAGAACGTAGCTGCTGTGTCTGAAACAGCTTCGGTCCCTCTCACACCTCTTCTCTGTCTTCCTTTTCTCTGCTCTCCTTTCCGATTCCTCCCATCGTCTTAGGCAGGGAGAATCACAGTGGTCCAGCTCCCTTGGGTACCAACTCCCTTCCCTCCCTGCCTGGCTATGCACACTCTCTGCTGAGAGTTGAAATCTCTATGTGCACACAAGGATCCATCACCCTCCTAGAAAGACTCTCTCCTCTTCCCAGGTCCCACCTCTCCACG